TAATTTCATAGCATAAAGTAAAAAATACACATGAAAAATGAAATGGAAAAGGCAAAGGCAACACTTGCATGCAAAGCTTTACAATTGTGGTGCCCCAAAAAAAAGTAATTACAGTACTTTAATATAAATAAATCAATCAATTTAATTACTTATAAAAACTTACAAAATATAAAATCCTATTTAAATTTTAAAAGAACCCTTTAATAATATTAGGTTTTAGAGGCTATAATTATTGATTATTACAATTTACCTATTATCTATTCCCCCCACCCCCAAAAAACAAAATGCTTTGTATAGTACGATGCACTAAATTACTTTTTGAAATCATATTTCTAAAGCAATAAAATATTGGCATGCACATTTTTTTGTTTGGTATTTTAAAGTTGGTTAAACTATATTATGTACGTTTTTTAATCATATCAGATCATCATAAATTCATGAATACATTTTAGGTTCACTTCACTTGAAGTAGGTCGATGATTGTTCTATTGTTGTCAATCAGAGACTCATGAAATGCCTAATAAGCCCTAAACAAACTGGGCCTATGACTTCACCAATATCCTTGAATTTTTTTTTTTGAATATTTTTTAGTTAGTTCTGCTTGTTAATGCCATCCGTTCCAATAAATCTCAGGTATAAGAGTTTTGCGTAATTAGACCCCACTAAGGCTCTGTCTCTGGGTCGAATCAGGTGGATCTTACCAATTTTATATAGGGTCCGGCAGTTATCTTTCACGGGGCCTGTCACCACCACGTTACGCCACTGCATGGTTGTACCGTCGCCAATCTGTTCTCCAAGGATTGATAAGATCATTAAAATTAGGCAGGAAAATACAGTAGCTCACATTCACACAATGTATATGTTACTAAACAAAATGTTAAAAATGATGAGTTGCTTCCTTGCTTTTTGAGTTTGTCAGAGCCTTTTTTGCCAGTGGGTAGAGACGTACAAGTTTCAATTTCAATTATTATTTCCCCAGTAAGCCTTGCCCAAGTCGAGTAAACACAAGTCAAAAATTTGTAATTGTTTTAAACATTTGTCATTGTTTCAAAATTATGTGTGTAGTAAATACTGTATTTTCCACAGTGGCAAATTCAAGGGGAAAAAAATAGTAGAAAAAATATAGAAAAATAAGATAGAAATTTTTAAATAATTAGAATGTTCACTTGAACAAAATTAAAATGTCTTGAAATTGAACAAAAAATAAAATATCTTTAAATTGAAAAATAAATAAATAAATTATTTTTTTTTTATTTTTATTTATTTTTTTTTTTTTTATTTCAATCGTCCAACAGGAACTCTTCGTTCCCACTTACAGGCGAAAATTGTGATTCCAACTCATGACCTTTGGTTTAATAGAACACATTGTTAACCGACTTGGTATTGGTGGTGCACTTCACAAAAAAGATCTATTAACTAATTATTCAGCCAAGTATTTCTATTCTATAGAGAATTTCTTAAATAATTAGAATAAATAATTTGTACAAAAATAAATACCTGTATCTTTAAAAAAAAATTAACAATTGAAGACAAGACACGATTCGAACCAATGGGCTTTGGTTCCTTACAACCATCACATGGAACTGTTGCATGGATGACAAGGTTAACCAACCGCGCCATTCATCCGATGTGTATAACAGTGGTAATGGCAGTAATGTACAATCCTTCCTAGAACTCCTGTTTTTCTTTCATAATGTATGGGGCACACTATGGGATGCAACTTAAAAAATTAGGGCCATGAACGTTTGTTGGAATCACCTCTAGTTTATGTGTACAAAATTTCCCGCACGTCCGCCGTTCAAAACTGGCGCCGAATCAATCAGCCAACTGTTTTTAGAGCTTCTCTTCGGAGCTACAGTAATAATAATAATACAAATAATTGGCAGCAAATAATAGTAATAAAAATAATTGGCCCTAACAGTCACCCAAACAAGAACAATCTATTAGGAAAAAGATCTATTACCTATTACTAATCAATCAGCAGGGTATTCCTACTGTATTGTAAAGCTCCTCATCAGAGGAAATCTAAACGAATTATAACAGCTACTTTTTATTTGACTTATAGCCAAGCTTGATTGTACTAGAATACAACTGCATACCTTAATATTTGTCAAATTAGGAGGCAATGCTATAGAATCATAGTATACTAGTATACATTTCTAAAAACCCAAGCAATAATGTCAGAAAACAGTAGCATTATGATTTTATTGAGCTTATGGCAAGTAAAGTAGGCCTAAGTATTCAACACATAACATGAAAATATCATTTTGGTATGACATCTATAATTTATATGCCTTGGTCTATACAGTACAGTATGTTGTGAAGGGACTACCAATTAGAAAAGTAATTAGCCTACATTGGTTTATAGTCTGGCATATCCTTTGCCTCTGTGAATAAAAAGTTGAATACAAAACAACTTTTTAAAAATAGATAAAGAAATTAAAAACTAAAAAACAAATTATTTTAAAAAAATTAGAAGAGCGATTATACGCCATCTATCCCACTGAGCAACTTGGTAGCCCTCAGATTTCTGATATTGAGGGCTAGCAGCTGCATCCCAACTTAAAACAAGTTTTTTTTTGTTCTATTCAAAGAAAATAAGGCCTAGAATTTCAATTGACTTGTCACGCCAAAATTGGTCCGGGTCAAAAAAGGTCCTGCTGACAAATTTTATCTGCCAAAGTTGGTCCGCCGGACTACTTTTGGCCCCTAAATTTGGTCTACCGGGTCAATTTTAGCCTCTAAAATTGGTCCCTCTTGGATAAAATTGGTCCGTCGGCCTGGCCGCTTGTAACACGACTGCTGCCCGTAGGGTATGATTGTTTCTCCAGTGGAGTGGAGGGAAGTAATTTACCGTATGCTTCTCCCCCACTTGAAAAATCTTTTGCAGTCGGACAAAAAATGATTCGATTAAGCTTTTTTAGACTGTTTTATCAAACACACACGATAATGCATTTCCTAGGCCTATGCGACACACGGCATGCATCATTTTCGGCGGCCGTGCTTTGCCTAGGTTTGGGTCTAAAATGAAACGCAAGACTGATTTATTAGTTTTAAATATTCTATGTTATTGTGTGGGATATTAGGTCATACAATAGTTGTTCTATTTCATGAAAATAAAGGAGTCAATAATTTCTTTGAAATGATTGCTCATGTATTTTGTCACGGCATTAAGCAAGCACACAACCCAAAGAAAACCAAGGTAAAAATTAAACAAAGGCGGACCAACACGATTTACGATCATATCGTAACTTCTTTTCTAACACTTACACCAAAGAGTTTATTGGGCGTGAAGATTGAAAATAACATACTAATATTTTGTGGCTGTACAGTATACTCCATTGCACACACAACGAATGAAAAAATATTATATAATAAAAGATGAGATATTTACTTATCATTTGATTAAAAACAAATATGAACAACGCTAAAAAAAAATACAAGTTATTGTCTACTAAATAGATGCCGGACTGATTTTGGCTTATGTGAACTACATTTGGCAGGTAATTTTAAAGCCAAAATCGGTCTGCTGTCCAATTTTGGCCTCAGACCAAATTTTTCCTGACAGACTAGTATTTCAAAAGCAAACACTCTCTATTTACTATTTGAATGACCTATTACCCAGACTCCAAATAATTTCAACTCCCAATAGAGGCATAAATTCCAGAGCATACTCCAACAAGTGCATGTTAGAAAATTGTTTATGTAATGAAAATGTAGGCCTTTCAGACTATAAATTATTCTCAATCTTCCTACCTCCATTAATGACTTAACCATCTGGATGAAATCTGAAAGAAAAAAAAATTGAGCTCATTTTAACAGGATCAAATAAGGTCAAATAAAATTGATTTCCTCCTCCAGGATTTGAAATTATTTTTTTGGTGAGGGTACTTCTATTTACTATCCTATGCCACTGGTAGAACTTTATTTTTTAATAAAAGAAATGAAAATTAATAATGTATTCTGCCATTTATGTCTCCACCTCAATTTTTTTTTTCATGGAAAAATGATTAATATTTTTGAAAAATTGAAAAATAGTAAGTTTTTTAATGAGGCTCAAAAATTTAATGAGGGCAGGAACCTGAAACTTGAAATTAATTTTATTTGGCCAAAGTTATAGCTTTCAATGAGACAAAGAAGAATAAGTTTTTTCAATGATTGACAGACATTATGAAAATGCTTATACTGATTACCAGTACCTGCCAATTTATGTATTATGAAATAAGAATGTTATTATACAGATTATCTTTGTTGTTAGGTATTCTCTGTTTTAATCTAAGAAACCCAATGGAAATGGGTTTCATTTTTACAATTTTTGGGTCATCTTTCCATAGTATCTTGTATTTGTTTTATGTATTTTGATACTGAATAAAATCCACCAACCAATCATAATGCATTGGTTAATTGTTAAGGAATATATTTTATTGTTCTAATTTATTTGAAAATTAATAACTCAGTTAATTCCTACCTTTTTTTAAAATTTTGTATGTCATTTTTGTATACTTAAGTTAACAACTTGCTTACAAATATTGAATTTTAAGTTTATGTTTTCAGAAATGCAAAACATATTCTGCAACAATAGTTTGTGATACAAACATTTTTCTCTTGATAAATACAGTGACCTATTACCTCAACCTTAAATAATTTCAATACCCAGTAGAGGCAGTATCAATTTCTGAGTGCCTATACACAAGTTCAACAAGTGCAAGTTAGAAATAAATGAAAATGCACATGATTTACAAGAAGTTACTAGTTAAAAATTAGGAAGTATCAATCCAAATGTAGTTTTCAATAAAGTGGGAAATATGAATAAGCTATCATGTCACTTCCTGAAAATATGTACAAATCAAGTACATGAATTGCAATCTGTTTATCTTTAGAAGCTTAATTTAGTTTGTATGTTAAACACACCCACTCTGAAGTTTACAGTTACAAAACCTGGCCACAGAGGGTGGTAGTAAAAGGATATAGGCCAATGCTAGCAAAGGAGGAGGGCAGAAATTTGGTCAACCATGAAATGCAAAACAGCATTTACTTTTCTATTGTAGAAGTGATTTCCACAGCTTGGAAAAAGATAAAAGGGACTTGAAATGAAATTTATAGTGACAATGCAATTCTGAGGGTATGAGTTTAAACCAGTGAGGCAAACAGCTCCATTTTTGTTCAGTGTTAAGTTACCAGTGTGTTAATTTTGGCTACTTCTGAAATAAAGAGATACTTATTATTTAACAGACTTTACGAATTAACTTTTAGTGTGGACTACTTTCCTGGAGATACCAATAGGAATATGTATCTTTAAATTCTGGACACCATTATGAACTCTGAATATTCACAGTGAGGATCGTTTTAGCATATGGCTTGGGTTTGATGACTAGTTGCAGCTTAATCGATTAAAAAGCTTTGACTTCCTGATCCCGCTTGGAAAAGAAACATTTCGTTGAAAATAATTGAGTTGGATCACCTTTTCAAAAATCATCTCAATATTTACTTACTTTTACTGGAATATAACCATCATATACTGGAATATAACCATCATATATTTGTTTCATTGTATTTTAATGTGCAAACTGGTGTTTTCAAATTCTGGACAATAGATCAAATTATAGACGAACTGGAATCAATACAACAGGTTAAGTTCATAAGGAAGTGGGAGTTTTTAACAGCAACCATTTTTTACCAGAATTACACTTATTGGTTGTATAATGTCATTCTTATAATAGATGGGACTTTTTGTTTAACTTCATACACATATCGCTGTTAATTGGTTTGTAAAATTTATGATTGTATAAGATGGGAAAATCTAAACTGTCTCGCCTTGTTGATAAAGATGGGCATTGCACTGTTGTCTACAACAACTTAAATACCAAAAGAGGCTATGTCAAGGACATTTTCACAACATTATGCGAAATAAGATGGCGTATGTTAATACTGTTTTTTACCGTGTGTTACTTGTTAAGTTGGATAATATTTACAGTAATATGGTATAGCATGGCATACTACAATGGTGACATGCGTGATGACATCACTAACATTACAGAACAAAATTATCATACACCTTGCATAGATAATGTGTATAGCTTTAAGACAGCATTTCTGTTCTCATTGGAGACGCAAACAACTATTGGATATGGCAAGCGAGTAGTCACAGACAAATGCTTCCTAGCTCCTTTTGTCGTTGTGATCCAATCAGTTTTCAGCTGTTTTATCAATGCAATACTTTTCGGTCTAGTTTTCACCAAGGTAGCACGTCCTAAGAAGCGAGCTATTACGCTAAAATTCAGCAAAACGGCATGTATTGCACGGAGGGATGAACGCTTATGCTTCATGTTTCTTATAGCTGATACAAGGCCTACGCACCTTTCGAACGTAACAATCCAAGCCAAATTTGTCTGCCCCCGAACAACATTAGAAGGAGAGTACATTCCGTTTTATTCATATGACCTCAATCTGAGCTCAGAAACAGAAGCTTTAGGTAAACATATGTACCTCGCTTGGCCGTTAGTAGTCTGCCATTACATTAATGCGGAGAGTCCCTTCTATGATATCTCCTCGAGTGATTTATCAAAAGCAAAATTTGAGATAATCGTCCTCTTAGAGGGTCTTGTTGAACAGACAGGATTACAATGTCAGGCACGTACATCGTACCTCCCGTGCGAAATAAAATGGGGAAAGCGGTTCTCACCTTCAATGACTCTTCGCAACGACGACTCTAGAAATCATTGTATTGTAAACTTTTCAGAGTTTAACACATTAACTGATCAATCTACACCAACTGAGAGTGTGAAATATCACATGGAGCATAATAGAAAGCCAATGCAAAAGGCTTTGAAACCACATGAACATAATCACAGGAACTCAAGTAATGGACTATCTATATTAAATCCAGCTTATGAAGAACACCAACGATAAAGAGTAATAAAGGCCTACCCTAAATTTTAACCTAGGACTGAAAAAAGGACACACACTGAAGAATATACAAGGTGGATAGTTGTACCATGTACTATCTACCAGCAAGTTCATCAGTAAATTTTGTTTTATCTCATGCAACTGAATAAGGAAACAGAGTTCCATATTTGTAAATTTCTTGTAAGAAACCTACTGACTAAAAAGAAATGACAGATACAGTACAAACACTGAACAGTGAAGATTACAAAACAACAATAACTGTGGTTCACAGACTAATAGTTCACTCTTCTCAAAGAGGTATCTACAGACCTGTCAACCCGTACGCATTCGCCGTAAGTCTTACGCATTCCAATCAAATCTTACGGTCTTATACAAACACCGGCAAAACTTACGCTTATCCTAAAATTTAAGTAAATTTTGTTTCTTTTTCAATTTGTAATGAATTTTCATAAGAAGGGAAGCCTTTTGTTATCTTAAACTATCTTTCAAAAATTACTGTATCTGAGATCATTATAAATTCATTAACATTGATTAGATGTGCTATTTAAGCCAAAGAGTCCAGGAGCCCGACCAGGCGCTCTTGGCGGCCCCTGGCCCCCCCCCCTGTTGTAAAATCAACATTAGTTTTTGTACACTTTCATTAATTAAGGAAGGATTGTTGGTATTGAAAGTGTGTACTCTTCAGTACTTGTCAAAATGTTGTGAATGGTTATAATAATGGGACAATTATTATTATTATGTTTAAAATACATTAATTTTTCAAAGAGACAATTTATTGTTGTTTTTTTTTCTTTTAAAATCATTTCATTCAATCCACATATTCCTTACTAACTTGAAACAACATGCAAGTATAGGGAGCTAGCAAAATGACAGTGATAATGTCATGGCAGCAATTAATAAAAAATATATTTAAACAAACATGCCTTGATGTTTTATCATTAACAGATAGTCTATATTTTTTGCCAATTTTACACAGGCGGGGGGAACTGTTTTTTATAGTCAAAATGAAAAAAGAGGGAAATATTTTTTTATTTATTCTCTTTATTGCACATGAAGATGGAAGCCAAAAACATATATTGTTCTAATCAAGCTTGCCACTATTATTATAGGTGAAAGTCTATCTTATATGGGGTGCCATACGCAGCAAAAGTCCATGTAAAAATCAAAATGTAATTGCAAAATTCAATGTCCAATTTATCAAAACGTAGGCGTAAATTTCTCAAAATGTAGATCTGGTTTCCCAAAATGAAGTTCTAATTTTTCAAAACGTAGTTCAAATTTTTCTAAATGTAGTTCTAATTTCTTTAAAATGTAATTCAAATTCAAAACGTAGGTCTGACTTGATCATACGCCCTCTCCAAATTCTATTCCAAAACGTAAATCAAAAACCAGCCTGGTTTGAAATGTATTTGACAACAACACTAGAAACGGACTTTTGATGCGTATGGCACTAGACTTGCGAAATGTAAATCAAAACTAATCAGCCAAGCATGACGTGGGCCTGTTCCATTAATGATGGGGGAATCATTTTTCGCTGCAGTCCAATGCCGTGAACAACGCTTCCCAGTGCGTCTGCTAATTTTTAATGGTCAGGGTACCCCGATCACGAGCCCTATGCTTGGCATTATAGGTTAGGCTTATGTGTGCTGGGATTTGCAACAAGGTCTTGGACTAGGCCTCTATACTATACAGTAGTAGGAGGCCTGGTCCTAGTCTAGGCTTATAATATAGTAAAGTTCTGTATTAAGTAGTCATATGATTACAGGTTTACATTGTACCAAGATCGATATTAACGATCGCATTTATTTTTCATTGAAAATAAAAAGTAAGCTTTAAATAATTTAACTTAAGGATTTAAAAATATTCCAAACCTGTATGCTTAAAAAAAAAATAAAATAAAAAATAAATAAATGAAGTTATTAACTTATAACACAAACAACAACGCGATAGGATATAAAATTTGAGAGAAGTTTTGGTATACTGTACTGTATTCTGAAGTGCCATTCGTTTTGGGGTTGCTACAATCAGGAGTTACAATCGATCCAACAAATATAAAGTACTATCTATTTCCTTACATTCCAAAAAGGAGGATTTTGGATGCTATTTAAATTTGCTGGAGATTGAAAAATCAACTGTTAACTCCGTTGTTAGAGAACATTGAGTGGTACATGACTTTTCGGACTGGTATAGTCCTTCAATAGGTCCTATGTACTCTAGGTGTAAATAAATACAGAGAATAGACCAATTTTAGTGAGAACTAAACATGTTTTAATAACGTACGGCCTATATACAATGCAAAGCAGATTGATCACAAAATCAGAAGCATGATTTCAAACATCAGAACACAGCTTTTACTGTTTAAAATTGTCGGGGCCACATTGAATGAAACTACGGTATTATAGTTTATATTATATACTTTTAAAGTTTTTTTTTTATTTTCAATGATATTAATATTGACCTTGGTACAATGTAAACATGTAATCATATGACTACTTATACAGAATTTTACTATATTATAGGCCTAGACTAGGACCAGGCCTCCTACTATAGTATAGAGGCTTAGTCCAAGACTTTGTTGCAAATCCTAGCCCACATAAGCCTAGCCTATAATGCCTAGCATGGGGCTTGTTTTCGCGGTACCCACTGGGAAGCGTTAACGCATTGGACTGCAGCGAAAAATGATCCCCCCCCCCCGACATTGTTCAAACAAAATATAATATAAACTATAATACCGTAGTTTCATTCAATGGGGCCCGACAGTTTTAAATAATAATAGCTGGGTTCTGATGTTTAAGATCATGCTTCTGATTTTCTGATCAATCTGCTTTGCAGATTGATCACACAGTTAATTTTTCAATCTCCAGCAAATTTTATATAGCGTCCAATATCCTCCTTTTTGGAATGTAAGGAAATAGATAGTGCTTTTCCTTTGTTGGATCGACTGTAACTCCTGATTGTAGCAACCCTAAAACAAACGGCAACAAACGGCACTTAAGAAATACAGTACAGTATACCAATTATTCTCTCAAACTTTATATCCTATTGTGTTGTTTGTGTTTTAAGTTAACTTTATTTATTTATTTTTTATTTTATTTTTTTTTAAGCGTACAGGTTTGGAATATTTTAAAATCCTTAAGGGGTCATCCATTATTTTCATCATTTTCACGCACGTACAAAACGTACGCAGTGGGGAGGGGGTTGAAAGTGTGTGTACGCTTTTCAAAAAGTACAAAAATAACGATTTGGAAATGTTAGCCTACGTTTTTGTACCTAGCAATTCACGAGTACATGTTAAGTTTATCAATTGTTTATACACAGCGTCATCTTGCATCCCTGATTAACGATGCGTTGGTTAAAGCATATTGTGTACTTATAAACAATTTCGAAATACAAGGGAAATGCACTCTAGCCAGGGGCGGATCCAGGATATGAAAGAGAATAGTTTAAAATGTCTAAAAAAAAACCAAAAAAACCCAACATTAAAAGGGGTCCTGGGAACTTCCTAGATGGCCGAAAATGAGCTTTCCCGACTTCTGAGGAGTTTTTAATGACCTTTAAGTTCTTCAAAATTCAAGGTTTTCTCCTCTTGAAAAAGATCAGGTAATTTTATCTCATTCTTTAGGCCATTATATAGAGAAAAAAAATCAAAGACATAAGCAATATATTATTATATCCCAACAATATTGCGTAGAACACACTTTCGTAAATACATTATTACGACATTGAACCAAAAGCAGTTTGTATAATTTTATTTAATTGAAGGCTAGTTGGGCTAAGCATAGTTTGTCTGATTTGCCAACCTATATGCCTAGGTAGGTTCAGGCGCGGATCCAGCGGGGGGCCACGAGGGCCCGTTCCCCCACCCTGTCAGTCACGCCGAAAAATAAAATAAAAAATTGAGAAGAGTTAAAGGGAAGAAAGAAAGAGGGAAAAAACGAAGTGTACCCATGAGTTCAGTGACGGATCCAGCAGAGGGCGAAAGGAGAGCTCGATTATTTTACCACTCACTAATTTTGAATTTTCTATTGATTGTCAACGAACACAATTATTATCCCCGACGCATCAATCAGGATGTAAATAGGCCAAAAGGCGGAGACCTAAAGACAGAGTTTTTTTAGCCGGAATGTAGTACCATGGAGGACCTCCATGGTAGTACCCAGCTATAGAACAGCTATCCATGCTCAGCATGGAGTAACGCCTACGCATTCTCGTGCTAAAATCCGCAGACCACCGACCTTTTATACCGTAATGATTTTTATAAACAATCACAATTCTCTGTACTATCTATTAAACATTTAACGAATGAACTTCCTTGCGTTGTGGTCATATTAGACTGTTATATTTTTTAAGAATGCCATTCAGCAAACAACATAAAACAAAATTCCCACGTTGAAGCATAAAACGTACAATTTCCTGAAATTTGGAAATAGAGCGGACTTCCTTATGATTTTTCCTTATGTTGTGGTCATATTAGAATATAATATCACTAAAGACCATTCAACAAACAACATGAAACATAGGGCCTATATCAAACTTTTAGGTTAAAATTCCCGCTTCCGAGCATGCATATAACGTAATTTTTTAGATATATATTTTCATGACAGTCGAGAATGTATTGATTATATAACTTATAGATAATTACTGTTGTCCAATTGTGTGCATTGAAAATGTGATGACGAACTCGGGATACGACCCTCGGTTGACACTCATATCGAAGGGCCTGTTAATTAACCTTGCACAGGAGCCTGTCGTCACCTGCTACAATGCCTTCTCCTCCTTATCATCATCACATCATCATCATCACCTTCATCATCGCAATTATTATTTGCTAAAATGGGGGAAATCTATTAATTCAGTGTGTATTCATTCATCAATAGAAGTCTCGAAATGCACTAAGTGCATTTCTCAGCATCTAGAAAAAACAAAACTCTGTGAAGCTAGGAGAACCCCAAGACTAACTGCAAACCACCTCCCTCCCCCTACCCCCAACGTCTAAAATAATCTTCCAGCGACAGAACAAGCAAACATTAGGTTTTCCTCCCATGACCCCGCCCACTCAGGGAACCCATTATGTGCGATAGTCAGG